GGGGGAGGGGGAGGGGGGGCTCTGAAAGAACTATTGACAAGCAGCACTGGTGCCAAAACAGTCGGACAACAACAGTCAGAGTCAGAGCCCAGGAAACAGAGTACAATAATACAATAAGTAAGACGTTACCATCTGTTGATACATCGTACCACTGTAACAACTGTAACAACTGTAACAACTGTAACCACTGTAACAACTGTAACCACTGTAACCACTGTAACCACTGTAACCACTACAGTCCACTGTAACGACTGTATGAGGGTCCGTGAGAGTCTCTGAGAGTCCGTGAGAGTCCGTGAGAGTCCGTGAGAGTCCGTGAGAGTCCGTGAAAGTCCGTGAGAGTCTCTGAGAGTTCGTGAGAGTCTCTGGGAGTCTCTGAGAGTTTCTGAGAGTCCGCGAGAGTCCGTCAGAGTCCGTGAAAGTCCGTGAGAGTCTCTGAGAGTTCGTGAGAGTCTCTGGGAGTCTCTGAGAGTTTCTGAGAGTCCGCGAGAGTCCGTCAGAGTCCGTGAAAGTCCGTGAGGGTCTCTGAGAGTCTCTGAGAGTCTGCGAGAGTCCGTGAGAGTCTCTGAGAGTCCGTGAGAGTCTCTGAGAGTTCGTGAGAGTCTCTGGGAGTCTCTGAGAGTTTCTGAGAGTCCGCGAGAGTCTGTCAGAGTCCGTGAAAGTCCGTGAGGGTCTCTGAGAGTCTCTGAGAGTCCGTGAGAGTCTCTGAGAGTTCGTGAGAGTCTCTGGGAGTCTCTGAGAGTTTCTGAGAGTCCGCGAGAGTCCGTCAGAGTCCGTGAAAGTCCGTGAGAGTCTCTGAGAGTCTCTGAGAGTCCGTGAGAGTCCGCAAGAGTCCGCAAGAGTCCGCGAGAGTGCTGTGGTCTGCAGCTGGAGTCAATCCCAGCAGTCAGTGGGCCACGGATCAGATCAAGTTTGTAGATGGAGAAGTACCAGGAACAGGGAGAAGTACCAGTATTTCAAGCACACAGCTTTACTAGCACATCAGAAAAATACATTTCTGTTCAAACTCTAACGTAAGGAAAACCATGTGCAGGAGATGAGACTCCGTGATGGTGGACTGGTGGTGTTTGGTACTGATGATTCTGGAGTACTTTTGGACAGTACGTACTGAGTACGTACTGTCCAAAAGAAAACTACCTTCAGCTTCCATGAGAGTACAAATCTCACATTTGAAATTTTCCTCAGATAATCTGTCCCCGTTCACATCACAGGCTGAGAAACGGTCCAACAGCCACGTAACAACAACCACTGTACCACTGTACCAGTGTACCACTGTACCAGTGTACCAGTGTACCAGTGTACCAGTGTACCAGTGTACCAGTGTACCAGTGTACCAGTGTACCAGTGTACCAGTGTACCAGTGTACCAGTGTACCAGTGTACCAGTGTACCAGTGTATCACTGTACCACTGTACCAGTGTACCACTGTACCAGTGTACCAGTGTACCGCTGTACCAGTGTACCAGTGTACCAGTCTATCTCTGTACCACTGTACCAGTGTACCACTGTACCAGTGTACCAGTGTACCACTGTACCAGTGTACCAGTGTACCACTGTACCAGTGTACCAGTGTACCACTGTACCA